TATTTCCCCTAATATTTCTATTTCATTTGCATTCTTTCATGAATCCATATGTCTGTGTAGTAATAGTGGTGTACTGGTGCTTTTCTCTCTCTTTACCTCTCTCTTTATACACACATGCTCAGATTTCAGTGATCCTCAGTGGTATTAATGACAAGAATGTCCATGTTGCCGTGCCGTGTGTTGTGTCTGTTGGCCATTGTGTTCTGCTGTGTGGGTGTAAGTGGCACTACTACGGGTACTTCTCAGGATCAGCAGTTATCTGCAAATAATAATGTTGCCGCTGCACTGACAAGTGCTACTGGTGGAGTTACATCAGCAGCAGCAGCAGGAGTATCAACAGTGGCAAATGGAAAGATCTCCGAGAGTGTCAAGGCAGCTCTGCAAGTCGCTAACAAAATGATAGAGAGTATTACAGCAGCACATACAAAGGCGAAGACTGCTGCAGAGTCTCTTAACAGTGCTATGCAGAATATTACTGAGGCAAAGAGAGAAGCGCATGACGCGGTTGTGAAAGCAAAGGAAGCGGAAGACGAAGTGGATAAAAATGGGGGTAAAATCTTGGAGGAACTGAACCAAACTCAGAATAAAATTACGAAAACATTGGAAGTCAAGACACCTTCAGTATCAAAAGGCAGAACAATTACAATTAAAGTAGACAAAAGCGAAACAGCAGAGTCTATTGAAAATAAAATATCCGGTGCTGTTGATAGCCTATTATCTGTGAGTGGAAAAGTGAATGCAACTGCTTCTCTACTTGAAACGGCAGTAACTGTTGTGACTGAGCTGCAGACGAATGCTGCTGCTGTGTTGGAGGAGGCCAATAAGGTCGTGAGTGCAGCGCAGAGTGTGGAGACCACAACACACAGCGCATCGGAAACCGCAAAGAAGACACACACAGCAGCCACAGAGGCAGTGCAGAAGGCAACAGAGATGCAAAAGAAGGTCAGGGAAGCAAATGAGAAGGCTACTAAAGCAGTGGAACTCGCAACGACAGCATTCAATGCAGTAACGAAAGCAAGAGATAACTTTAACGCAGAGGCTGAAAATGCAACGAAAACATTGGAGACATCTTCATCTGAAGGTCCGAGTCCTCCACAGCAAACAGCGTCTGCCATTATCGCTTTTGTTGCCTCATCAGATCCGACGCCGGTACAGGAAAGCACTGAAGTAACAAATATGACGTTACGTGTCTCTTTGATTAAGACACTCGCTGAAGGAATGTATACAAACCTGACGGAAGTGGTACCCCCCACACGTGAGGCGCAGGAAGCGGCGAAAGAATTAAGTGATGCCCTCAATGCGGCGAAGGAATCAGTAAGTGTGACGGTAATTTCCCTCAATGCTCTTGAAGAGGCGGCTTTGTCTGCCGAGAAGGTGGAAGAGGAAAAAGCAACGGCACTAAAAAATAAGGAAAATGGAACCACTGTTGCTTCTACCAGTAAGGACGGCGGTAGCAGCCCTGCGTTACTGCGTGTTCCACTCCTGCTGCTGCTGCTGCTCTCTGTGCTGGGCTGCATGGCCGTGTGCTGAGCACTGTGGTGGGGTCCATCCAGAGAGTGTTGGTAATCACTTGTTTACTGTTAATAATAATAAAATTGCTTTTGTGTTCAGTACACTGAGCACCAAGAAAATTAATCCCGATGACACCCATTGGGCTAGGGTGCATCAATTTGTGTGGAAATACCTAATCTCTTTTCATTTTTATACTTGCAAGCAGAGTATTGCTGTGCACCTTGTGGTGTGTCTCACTCTGCAACTGTGTGGTTCTGGTAAATGATATCTCTTTTTTTTATTTGCTTTTACATTACGTGTGAATGGGGTAACATATGATTTGCTTGTTCCTATGGGGATACCAATTGTAATTGGGACAGGGAGAAATCAACACAAAGAGAGATTTATGCATTATCCGTTATTATTATTGTTTTTGTGTGTGTGGCTATCTCTGCAATGTTACCAAATGGTATTTAATTCGTATATAATCTTTTCATTTTTATTTGGGATTTTATGGGACTACATTTTGTTTGAATAATGGGTGTTTTCCCCTAATATTTCTAATTCATTTACGCTTATACTTGACTGCTTATGTGTGTGTGTGTGTAGTAATAGCGGTTTACTGGTACTTTTCTGTTTTTTCTCTCGCTTTCCCTCCCTTCGCATGCTCAGATTTCAGTGATATTCAGTGATATTAATGACAAGAATGTCCATGTTGTCGTGCCGTGTGTTGTGTCTGTTGGCCATTGTGCTTTGCTGTGTGGGTGTGACTCCTGCTGCTTCACATGGCAAGTTATCACCTGTTGAGTTGGCGAAAAAGGAGGTTGAGGATACTTTGAAACTGAAAAAGGAGTGTGAAGAGGCCACCAAGGCTGCTACAGATGCCGCGCATAAAGCTCAACGATTTGCACATAACACTGAGATTAATCTCGTAATAATTGCTGCTGACCCAAATGAGGTGGAGAAAAGGAAGAGTGAAGGTCTTCAATTCATTGATAATACAACGAAGGCTGCAAAGAAAGCAGAAGAAGTGCGCGACAAAACTACAGCCAGTATAAAGGAAACTGAAAACAAAGTGTATGCTCTTCCTCCAGCAGAACAAATGAAAGCAGAGGAAGCACTTGGAGAAGCAGACAGCGCGACACGTGATGCTACCAGTGCTATCGAAACTGCGGAAACTCATATTAATGGTGTGAAGAAGGTCCTGCAGAAACTCGACGCCGAAGTTGCTGCTGCCAAGAAGAAGAAGGGAGAACAGTTGGAGTCTCAGCCACACCCACAGACAAAGGAAACATCTGTTGGTGAGCAGCAAGGTCATACAGAAGGAAATAAAGCGGAGCAAACACAGGAGAAACAAAAACAGCACTACCGTTCTACTTTTACTATTAATATCCACGGAGATAATCTCGATTCCTTACTCAATGGTGCAGCGAATAACAGTGGTATGGCATTAAATGACGGCAGCAGCAGCCCTGCGTTACTGCGTGTTCCACTCCTGCTGCTGCTGCTGCTGCTCTCTGTGCTGGGCTGCATNATTGTGCTCTGCTGTGTGGGTGTGGCTCATGCTGCTTCTGATCCATCAACAGTTATGAAAAAATATGTTGAGCAGGCAAAGATGTTGGCGGAAGAGACCAAGAAACTGAAAGAGGAGTGTGAGAAGGCCGGTACGACTGCTCGAGAGGCCGCGAAAGAAGCTCAACAATTTGTTGCTACCAATAAGGATGAAATCGAAATAATTGCTGCTGACCCAGAAAAAATGAAGAACACGAAGAGTCAATGTCTTAAACTCATTGATAAGGCAACGAAGGCTGCAGCTGAAGCAAGAAAAGTGGCCTTCAAAACTGGAGAAAGTGCAGATAAAACTGACGACAAAGTCAGTTTTATTAAGATATACGCAGAAAGAACTAAACGGCCAGTACCGGAAGAAATTGCAGAGGTAGAGAAAGCAGTTAAAGATGCACAAAATGCAGTACTTGACGCTGAAGGACATATCGACGCTGCAAGAACTCATGCTGAAGAAGTGAAGAATGTCCTGAAGAAACTCGATGTCGCAGTTGCTGCAGCTTAAAAGAAGGAAACATCTCTTGGTGAGCAGCAAGGCCAATACAGAAGGAAATAAAGCGGAGCAAACACAGGAGAAACAAAAAGAGAAACAAAAACAGCACTACCGTTCTACTGTTACTCTTAATATTCACGGAGATAATCTCGATGCCTTACTCAATGGTGCAGCGAATAACAGT